GCAATGGACAGATTCATCTGGAGCCCAGAAAGGATTTGGCTTCAGAAACTTGGAGTGACCCAGGAGAGCATAGAAACACAGAAGTACATCAGCTGGGAACAAGTGTCCCAAGTGGCTCCCTGTGCCCTGCCATGAACGCTACTGGCAGGACACTATGCCATGGCACAAAGCCCAGAGGCACAAGACCTGACCCACAGTCCTCAGAAGCAAAGCAGAACCCAGCCTCTCTCCCACTCCTGGCTCCAGTCCTGTGCTCCCCTATTACAAAGGGCCTCGAGGAGCCGCTAAGGGAACCGATAAAGCTCCCCACTCGTCTCACTGCAAAGCAGGTGGCACAGAGGGAGCTCAGCCAGCCTCAGGACGGGTGTACAGCTCAGCAGTGTGGCCTCTGCCCAGCATGGGAGCCCATAGCTATGTCCAATCCCCAGCAATGTAAAAAGAAAAAAGCGGGGTGAGGGGCGGTCTTCCAGCCTTCTGTCCCCAACATGCCAGAAGGGTAATCCAGACCTGTAACTCCTCTCTTCTAAAATGAAGACTAATTTTTTACAATTCCTCTTATAGCAAATAGGATGGAAAGAAGACTGGAATCAGGCCTGGCTCTGCTCCCTCCTCAGATGACCTGAACAGGTCTCACTGCACCTATTTCCTGCTCTGGAAATGTGTGGACCAGGTCAGAGGCAGAGCAGTCTGTAAACCTTAGTGCACTCCTCAAACAAGCACCACAACGTCTAAGGAGGGGTGAGGAAGGGAGAGGCTGGACAGGGGAGGGTGCTCCAATAAAAGCCAGGAAGACCTATTCAAAAGCAAAGGGCTAGTAGCAGCACACCTGTAATTCCAGCTGAGGCAAGAGGACTGCTGCAAGTTCAAGGCCATCCTAAACTACACAGTGAGAGCCTCCCACACACACACCCAGAAAACAATGAAACCAAACAAAAAAGCTACAAAATGTTGATTCCATATCAAGGAATGCTATGCAGCAGTGAAAATTAAATTAGAGCTATACCTATAAACATGGATCAGTTTCTCTGATATAACATTAAGTAAAACAAGCAATTGTTTTGTGCGAATAGAGAAGGTATGATAGCATTTAAACAATATTTTACGATACAAAACAATGCTACTTATTGTTTAGAAATACACACATCTATAAGGAAACAAAAACAAAATATATAAGAATGATAGACTAAATTCAGAACACCTTCTCTGAGAAGGCAGAGGGAATGATCACAAGAACTTGGGAGTGTAGACTTCCAAGCAGGCAGAACTGCTCTGTGTCTGGAAAGCCACTTAGCTCTTCCTCTGTCAGCACCACAGCTCACAGGGGAAGCGTCTGCACTGCGCAGGCACAGGGGTGGGTGAGCATGCCCAGGCTCCTGACCACCACCAAGGCCAGCCCAGTCAGCAGCGCAGTGAGCCTGCAGGTCAAGGGGAGCTCACTGACCCCCATACCTGCCTTAAAAATACTAGCTCCATGGGCTGGGGAGATGGCTCAGTGGAATAAGCACTTCCCTGGCAAGTGCAAGGCCCTGAGTTCAATCCCTGGTTCCACAAAAAAAAAAAAAAAAAAGAAATACTAGCTCCAGCCTCTAATCAGGACTCCGTGGCAACAGGATCCACTGCACCCACCCCTACCCACTGTCAGGCTGCCGGGTGCTACAGGACTGGGCTCTGCTGCTGTCCTCTGTTCCATGTAGAACAGTGATCATCCCAGGAGGGTCATGGGAAGAACATTGAGCACTTCCTGCAAGGACCTTGGTGACCAGTGTGTGTCTCTGGGGATTGCACCCGCACCCCCCCAGAACAGGGGAGCTGTTCCTTGCCTCTAGTGACTTTCTCTGCAACTCTCCCAAGAGCTGGAGACCCTGCCTGGGCAGATGGCTGAAGGGGCCAGCACGGGTGCTGGGAGGGACACAGAAAGGCCCAGTCCAGGAATCAGAAAGTCAGGGCCTGCTGGGGCCAATGAGAGGGCAGCCCAGTTTTGCCTTAGCGCTTTTTCAAGGGCCAGGAAAAATGCTAGCCCTCCCCCTAGGCCTTCATTTTATAGCTGGAAAACCAAAGGCAGCAACAGGCAAAGTCTTGGCCTGGCTTTCACAGCTAGAAGTGACCAAAAACTGAGCTGGTCTTTTGTTTGTTTTTGCCGTTACCGGGGATTGAACTCAAGACCTTGCGCTTGCCAGGCAAGTGCTTATTCTACTGAGCTATCTCCCTGGCCCCTGAGCTGGTCTTGTGTTGCGCCCTACCACTCTCATCACATCTCTTGCCCCAAGTGGTCAGGCGAGCAATGAGCTGAACACAGAAGGTAGCAAAAGGCCAGCTGGGCCAAGGTAGACTAACAAACAGTCTGTAACAGTGTTGGAGGGCCCAGCGAGGGAGGGCCGCACGTTTGCCCAGCACCTTGAGCAGAACTTCACTCCAAACACTTCTTCCAGCGTCAGGGATATACACAGGAAGACTGAAGGGCTCCCTGCCCTCACCCTTATATTCCAAGGAAAGAGAGCACAATACTGTGCCAGTCAATAAGTTCTGTAGAATCCTCTCATTCACAAATTTATTTCACAACATGAGAAATACATGAAAAAATAAAACAGTAACATGACAGAAACTGAAAAAGGGGGCCACTTTGAATGGAAGGTCAAGGAAGGCCCCTGAGGAGGTGACAGCTGAGCTGAAACTTGACAGATAAGGAAAAACCAGCACCAGGAGGAGAAAGGTGTTCCAGGCAGAAGGAAGACCATGAGGTGAGCATGAACCAGCCAGCAAGAAGACCATGATTGGTCTTGATTAGCTGTGAGGGTGTGGCTAGTGCACAGCAAAGTAGTCAGGGAGGGATGGAGGCTGCCAGACAGCCTCCCACAGGGGCGCTGTTCTCAAATCAGGTCGGCTGACCCAAGCAGGACATCCAGGACTCAAGTCACAGGCAGAGCTGGGGTAAGGGTATGAGTCAGACCCCACGACCTTCTGGTCCCCAAAGGATCCAGTGTGGGCATCCAGGAGCAAGTACCAACCCTCAGTCACACCATGCACACACCTACAGAACACAGTGGGCAGGGAAAACATAGCCACCATGTGTGCAGAACACAGGACACGCCCACCTTAGCTTCCACAGGGCAACAACAGGAGGCTTCCCTGCAGGGCTCACCATCAGTAGTCTTGGTCAGTGAAAGGTACAGGGCCCAAGGCTCCAGGCCTACTAGTCCTGGGCAAGCCCTCATCTCTCTGGGCCTTAGTTTCTCATCTGAAATTGAGACTACAGAGGCATGACTTAAATAAGACACCAAATACACAGCACTGCCTGGCACCTGGCCACAGATGTAAGTAAATGATAGTGTCATCACCCATTTCTTTCCTGCATCCATTTGCTCTGCTGCAAAACCGATATGCCTGTAATCCCAGCGCTGGGGAGGAGGCTGAGTCAGGAGGATCACAAGTGGTCCGATTTGGGGGTGTGTTTTTGTTTTTGTTTTGCTGGCTCAGGATGCCTTGAGGGCAGGTCTGGGAAGGCTTGAGGATCTGGGGATGGAACCACAGCATCCTGATTGCTTTGTTTAAGCAGTCCCTTAAACAACTGAGCTAAAGGGCAGGCCCCCTAAAAAGTTCAGAAGTGGTTTGTTTTGTTTTGTTTTGCCCAGGAGGATCATTGTGAGCCTGGGCTACAACACAAAGTGAGAATGAGGCCAGCCTGAACTGCATAGTAAGACCCTGTCTCAAAAAGACAAAAAAGGGGCTGGGGAGAAGGCTCAGTAGAATATAGTGCTTCCCTGGCAAGCGCAAGGACCTGAGTTCAATCCCCGGTTCCGCAAAAAAAAAAAAAAAAAAAAAGAAATAAAGAAAAGAAAAGACCGAACAAACAGTAGAACAATATCACTGGGTTACTGGACGTCTGAACTACTAAATACCTAACCTTTCTGATACAACATCCAGTATCAGGAATCCAAAACAATGTATCCCCCCTCCAGAATCTCTTTTTCTGACCACTCAGTCAGAGCCGAATTTCCCTCTACCACACCCTGTTTGGAAAATGAGTAAGAGTTGATTAAATCCTGTTGTGACGTTACATCGAAATAAAACTGATGCATTAGGAATCTACACATTTCCCTGCACCGTCATTCTGCAAGGGGGTGGGGATGGATGCTGCCGGCACTTCTGCATCATCAATGAAAGCCCCTCCCTCCCCTTACCAGTTTCTCACCCTGCTGCACAAAATTCCCATGCACTCCTGCACACACGATTAACGTAGAATAAAATTATCTCCAGGCGCACAGTCACACACACCAACGTCCTCCCTGCAAAACTCGCACCACCAAAAGCCCTACTGGAAACGTACTGCAGCCAGCCACCCCGCACCTGCTTTTAAGCCTGTGTTCCCAACAGTATGTTCAACACAAACACAAACACAAACACAAACACAAACACAAACAGTATGCCAGGCCCTCCCTCTGGAGCTACTCGGTTGAGTTCGAACCCCGACTGCAGCTCACTTTGCCGTAGGAACTGAACCTCCAAGAGCCTTTGTTTGCTAAACTCTAAGATGACGCAAAGAACGTTCACATTTTGTGCAAACACAACCAGTAACTGAGTTTAACCTAATAAAGCGGTTAGAGCCACAAATGGGACCGCCCAGTAGGAGTTACTATTATTTTCTTCAACCTTCGGTGCGCACACTGCTTGCAAAACTTTACGAAACTACTGACGCGTTGCGTATAACCGTCCCCGCCCCGCGACAACTCCGGGCCCCCAGCCCGCCGCCCCCCGAGGAGCCTGCGCGCGCCGTTAGTGCGCACGCGCGCTCCCCACCACGCGCGGCGGGGGGCGGGAGGGGGCGAGAACCAACGGCTCGCCCGGCCTCCCGGAGACGACCAACGGGCCCTGGCCCCGGGGCTCGCCACCTTCCCGGGCCCAGCCTCCCCGTCGCGCCCGGCACCGCGGCCCTCAGAGACCCTCGCCCCGGCCTCCCTGGTTTTCCCCTCCGGCCCGTCCCGGCAGCGGCCCGGCCGGCTTACTTGGAGCGAAGGGTCAGGGGAGAACTGGGCAGCGTCCCAGGCCGAGTCCTTTCCCACAGCAATGTAGCCGCGCCGAGGAAGGGGGAGCGGCGCAGGACGAGGAAGTGCGGCCAGGCAGCCCCACCTCCGGGAAAGTCCCCGCTGACGGACGGGCCGCTCACCCAATCGCGCCGCGCGCTTCGGCTGGGGGGCTGCGGGGGGCGGGGCCGAGCGAGGTAAACAGCGGCCGCTGGGGCCGGACTGTCAGCGAGCCGAGCCCAGCCGAGTCCAGCCGAGTCCAGCCGAGCCGAGCTAGCCAGCCGGGTGGGCGGGGTCGAGACTGCTCTGTTGTGTCCTGGAACAGCGGTGCCTGCTGGCCCCCGCAGCTGCTTTGCACCCGATACCCCGGAGTTGCAGGGCGGAGGCGAGCTGCAGGGCCTCGACGCCTTCCCTCAGTGGGGGGGACTCACTGACACGGTGGCGTCGAGCCGGGCGGAGGGGTCTGGACCACCGGGTTCCGTTCCTGCCGGAAGACCGTGCAGATGCCCCCCCTGCTACCCAACCCCATCTCCCACACACACACACTTACTGCCCCAGGCTTTGTAAGCGCTGTGTAGGTCACTTCATTCACGTGGTTAACTCGTTACAAAACGCAAAATGCAACTTCAAAAGTTAGATTTTTTTTTTTTTTTTCTTTAGAGACAATGGCTACTTCTATGTGGCCCAGGGTGTGAAGGGCTGCCCCACCTCCTCTCAGCCCAGAGGCAGCACCAGAATGCCAAGATGACAAGCCCACTGCATACCTTTGGGCCAAGGAGGGAGAAGTCTGGGCCTAGGAAGGACGGAACAAGCCTAGCTAGCCCTGTCTGTTCTTGGGTCGCCGGCACCTGTGCAGGGGAGATGGCGATTCCATCTCCACCGGATCTGCAGCCTAACTTACTGCTAGCAACTGTATGGTGAGTTTTGGGGACCTCAGTACCAGGCTGAACCAAGACTGAACCCCAGGTGGGCAAATCTGGAAGGCACCTGCTATCCTGTCTACCTAGGGAATACATAAACCCAAGAGCCCCAGGATTTCCTGGGCTGGTGAGGAGCAGTATAGTAACTTGCAGTAAGCCTGGGAACACTTGGTCATTTGGGGGCGAGGAGTTTAGCTCAGTGGAGTAGCACCTGCCTGGCAAGCATGCAGTCCTGAGTTTCATTCCTGGTACCCCACCAAAAAAAAAAAAAAAAAATTACAAAAGAAAGAAAAACCTGACTTTGGAATAAAGGACTATTTGTTAGACTAGTTAAATATAGCTTTGTGAAAAACCTGTGGGAAGAGGCCCATATCGCTGGACTTGTTGAAAACTTGGTCACCAATGGGTGCTCATCTTCAGAAATGCTTAGGGGCTGTTTCACACATGTCCTCTCTTACAGAAGGGACACCAGGCCCCTCAGTCCCCTGTGACTGGCTTTGAACAGACATGTGTTCTTGAACACGGACGGAAGAGTGTGCCCGAGCTGGAGATTTTCCTGTACAGTTTAGAACAACATCAGGTGCTCAGGTACTTCAAAGGTGTTATAAAGTTTATGAAAACAGTATTCTTTTCAGTTATGAAAAGAATTTGATACACTTTAATCAAGAATGGAGGGGCTGGGGAGATGGCTCAGTAGGATAAGCGCTTGATTGGCAAACGCAAGGATCTGAGTTCAATCCCCAGTTCCACCAAAAAAAAAAAAAAAAGAATGGAGGAAGGTGGGGCTGGTGAGATGGCTCAGTGGTCTAAAGCACCTACTTAGAACAAGCTTAGCTTAGCAAAGCACAGGGAGGACAGTTCAAGGCTCTAAATCTTTGTTTGCTTCTTGCTTCTCCCCTGTGCTTCTCAATTTACCGCTTTTTGGGATGTTCACTTCCTAAACGCAACCCAAAACTTCATGCTTATCCACTGTAAAAATGGAATTTTCTTAAAAATGAAGAGTCAGAGCTGGGGGTGCAGCTCCGTGGTAGGGCACTTGCCTAGCACTTGCCTACCTGGGCTTCCATCCCCAGCAATGGAAAAATGACATCCCCAGTATTTTGCTTTGTTTTCTACACTATGTTGGTTGTTTTTGTGAAATGATGACTTGGGAGAGCTGGCACTTCCGTCCCTCAGAGTACCAGACGACTCCTTGTGGCCCTGGAGAACGTTTGAGCTCCACATATAAGCATGATTTTTTTCTAGCTTTGTTTTGTTTGTGATTCTGGGGATTGAACCCCATGCCTTCCCACTGAGCTACACCCACAAACCCTTTTTTGTCTTTGTCTTCTGAGATAGGATCATTAAGTTACTAAACTGTCCAGGCTAGGCCTGAGCTCACAGTCCTGCCTCGGCTTTCCAGTGTTGGAATGCATTGGTGCCCACCGAGCCCAGCCTGGGGTGCCTTTGCTTAGTGTTACGATGAGGAAACTCATCTGCCCAGAGTCATAGTTGTCCCCACTCTCCTACCCTTTTAAATCGTGATAGTGGGAGCCATTGGTCGCAGTCCCCTGCTTCACAGGTAGATGAACTGAGGCCTCTAGAAAAGGACGCTGCAAACCAAGCCTAGCAACAACTGATGCATAAGGAAGCGCCCTCACTCCCAGACTGTGTCCTCTGCCCACAGCACCTGCATCCTCTCAGGGTTTTTCTCTCATTTTTACAGAAATTTGCTCAAGAGCTAGGCATGGTGTTGCATGCTTTTAATCCCAGGGTTTGGGAGGCTGAGGCAGGAAGATGGCCTTGAGTTTGAGGCCAGCCTGTGATAGACAGGGAGACTCTCCAACAAAACAAAAACCAGAAATTGCTCTGCACTATCTTGAATGCAGGCTGTGGACCACGTGGGATCGCAGCGCCTATGCAGTCGCTTACTACCTGGTGTCCTCTGAGCCTGAGGGTCCTTTCTAGAAAATGAGCAAGATGGACCTGCCCCTCAGGTGATCCTAGGGATGAATGAGATCCTACAAACAAAGGCGGGGCTCACGGAAGCTCAGCCCAGAGGAGGCGTCTGAGAAAAGAGAGTGGTGCAGAGGTGTGGCTGCATGTGTTGAGTCAAACTGCACTGTTAACCCGGTATTGCAACCCCCACAGATCCCTCACACCCACGTCTTCTCAGGGCGGGGAGGAGATGGCAGCCGGGCTCCCCAGTCTGCCCCCTGCCCCAGCCTACCAGGGGATTTCCAAGTCAGGAAGCTGGCCTGGTGCTGAGGCTGAGTGACTCAGGCAGGTGGCAGCGTCTTGCTCTTCCAGAGTGACAACAAGCAGCGTGCAGAGCCCCACCTAGAGCACTCAGGTGCCAGTGTTTTATTTTGCTTTGTTGTGGAGCATGCAGCTTCCCAATTGTTCTGCCCCTCCCTCCTCCTCCACCATCTCTGCCAGAATGGTTCTGAATACATATTTGAAGGAAATAAAAATATACTCCCAAATCCATTCATAACTGACATAGCTCTAACTAAGCACCAGAAGAGAGGCAGAGGTTACGTGTTAAAAGCATTAAAAGGCAGCATGGAGCATCTGCTGTGTACCGGGCCTGCCCTTTCACACAGTCTACCTCCCGGCCAGCCTGGGAGGTGAGCACCAACAGACCCATTTCACAGAGGAGATGGCTTTGTGATGGCAGGCGCATGCCAGAGCACGGGCACCCACGGCGTACACTCATGAGGCTGCCAGGTGTTACGCTGGGATGTCTTGGCACCTAGCAAGACACGGAACACAGAGTGCCCCCACTTGAAAGGGTCTCTATGCATGCCTGAGCCCTTAGCACACACCTGTGAACCCAGCACGTACCAGGCAGAGGCCAGGAGGCTTGCGAGTTTGAGGCCAGTCTAAGCTACATACATTTTTTTTGGTCTTTAAAAAAAGAGAAAGGAGGGGCCAGGGAGATAGCTCAGTGGAATAAGAGCTTCCCTGGCAAGCGCAAGGGCCTGAGTTCAATCCCCGGTTCTGAAAAAAAAAAAAAAAAAAGGAGTAATGAGAGCTAAAGAAAGAATCTTACTCAAGATAAATGACAAATTTTGCAACAGAGATGTCAACAATAAAGAGAAGATCAAATCCAGCCTTATCCTTGTAGGAATGCAGCCACGGCGAGGGCCACAGAGGACCAGGACTTGGACGAGCCCTTACAGAATTTGTGACCAGTTTTCAGGACTACAATTGCCAATCAGCTGCTGATGGGAAAGGGGGATTTTAAACCAAAAGGGCCTGTGCCTTGCTCTGTCAGGAGGTGTGAACCGTGTACCCCGGGCCTTGGCTGGGGTGAATGGAGCTATTGGGGGGCAATGAGTAAAGCTGGAAGACAGCAGGTCAGCGTTCCCCTTGGATCCATAGGTAAATGTAACCCAGGAGGGTAAAGCCCTGCAGTGGCTTCTAGGTACTTTTTGGTGTTGGGTGTATGAATATCAAAGAGAGAAGTGAGTGATTGTTAAATGAGGCGAAGCATATCACCCACATGATATTGACTGAAATGAGGCTGGCTGATTGTGACTTTTTAATGTAAGAAATTTTTAAAAAACAGATACATCACCAATGTCTATGGTCCCAGCATCCCTTTCTTAGCCTAAGAGACATTTTAAGATTCTCTCTACCAACCTCTGTGAGAGGACAGCCAGATATCTCTAACTCCTCATTCATTCAGTATCTAAAAGCAAATACGAGACAACCTGTCCCTTTCCCAAGAGACAAGTCAAGCAGGTCTGAAGGCCTGGGCTCAGGAGTCATTAAATCCTGCCCTGCCACCTGCAGGTCTGTGCCTCAGTTTCTTCATCAATGCCACATTCACCAGACAGTAAGGATTAAGTGGCACAGGGCCAGGTGGGGTGGGAATTATGCAGTTAGCCCTAGGAGGCTGATGGAGTGGTTACCTTTCCCTAGGAGGACCCCAGGGCCCAAGCTGGGGGGAGGGCTGCTTTCCCTCCAGGCAAGCTCCTGTTTCTCCATCCCCATGTTCCTGGCCTACCTACTACTTCTCATAGTCTAGAACACCAGCCTCCTGGAGAACAGGGCTCTGAGGTCCCGCCCCCCCACGAGTCCTGGGTCTCCCCTGTTCCAGCCTCTCTCCCTCCGAGTCTATACGGGGAGTCACACTGGATTTGGGCTGTGATCCCAGCTTGCCCTCATCTTCCTGGAAGCGAGAAGAGCTCAGCCACCCACACCCTGGT